CTCAACCAAACTATTGTTTTCAACACCACTGTCAGGCATGGAATTTTCCATCCACTGTTCCAAATAAAATAATTCCTGTCAGACAGGGCTGGGTGTTCATCATCCTTATGGCCTGACTCTCCTCTGGGCAGAATCTCTGTGTCATTGAATAGCAACTCACTTATCCCAAAGTGACACCTGGGCTCTACGAGGGAACTCTGGGGTGATGGTAGCTGCCAGTCTTCTTGGTTTGCTCCTCATGGTGTGGAGGCTTCCCCTAAGAGCACACTGGGGCGGGAGTGGGCCGCGATCCCAGTTCAGTATTCTCGGCCTGCTCCCCTGCAGTAGAGCTTCTGCCTACAGCTCTTCTTGCGCCAAGGAAAGCTCCTGGAATAGTTTGTGTGAGATGGTGGTTGCAGGGGAGGGAGTGGATTGTGGCTCAGATGCCAAATATTTCTTGGTGAGGTTTCTTGAATGAATATTTCTCCACTTACTGTATGCTCTTAAAATGGTTTCCAGTGACTTATTAATTTATTTAGAGACAGAGTCTCACTCCATTGCCCAGCTACAGTGCTGTGGCCTCAGGCTAGCTCAAAGCAACCTCAAACTCCTGCCTTCAGGTGATCCTCTGACCCAGTGTCCCTAGTAGCTGAGACTATAGGCACTTGCCACAATGCCTGGCTAATTCCTCTATTTTTAGTAGAGAAAGGGTCTCAAACTCCTGAGCTCAGGTGATCTGGCTGCCTCAATCTCCCAGAGTGCTAGGATTATAGGCGTGAGCCACTGTGCCTGGCCTGATTTTAGTTTTTAAGAATTTTCTCCCATTAAATGTTTGTTTTGTCAGGGAAAGGGTTTAACATGCCCTTCATGCTAACATTCCAAAAGTAGGTTCACTGCAGTAATTTCCTTTACTGACTTTGCTTCCTGCAACGTTGAATGTACAAGGCTCTGCTAGTCTCTGAGCTACTGTGTACACTTCTCCAGCCAGTGCTGCCTGAAAACTCATACTGTACAACTCCCTGGCAGCTTTCTTGTAGCTAATTCTTGTAAACTAAAAATACAATTCTGAGCCCCTTCCCAATGACCAAATGGATGTCTTCTTAGACAAGGGAACTCCAGAAAAAACTTAAAACTGAGTTCATGGCCATGAAGGGAAGGGAGGTCAGGTATGCCTCATTATATCCCTCTCTTTTGGAGTTTAGACACTACAAATGACCAGCAATTACACTAAAACAGAGATCATAAGACTGACAAAACAGACTTTTTTTTTTTTTGAGACAAAGTCTCACTTTGTTGCCCTTGGTAGAGTGCTGTGGTGTCACAGCTCACAGCAACCTCAAACTCTTGGGCTCAAGTGATTCTCTTGCCTCAGCCTCCCAAGTAGCTGGGACTACAGGTGCCCGCAATAACCCCCAGCTTATTTTATTTTATTGTCTGTTCAACAAGCCTGAGCCAGGTTTGAACCCACCAGCCCTGGTGCATGTGGCTGGCACCCTAACTGCCGAGCTACAGGTGCCTGCCAAAACAGACTCTTTTTGAGAATAAGATGCTAAATTATTAACAAGACCTAAGGCCATGCAGGGCAAGAGTTAAATCACCTAAGCAGGCCATCAAGGTGCTCAACAGGACACTTGAGTCTTTATATTATAGCTTGTCTCTGATTAACAGACTTCCTATCACACACACTTTCATATGAATGATGAAACCCAACTATAGCCCAGAAAGGAGGAGGAAAGAAGAGGATGAGGCTGGGTGGAGGGAGGGTAACTGGTGTGACCTCATCTATTGTGCATAATACAAGGGTACATGTCAAATCTATTAAGAGTATAAATGTCTTAATACAACAATTACGTAAGAGAGGTGAAGGCTATATTAACCAGTTTGATATAAGCATACCAAATTGTATGTAAAATCAGCACATTGTACCCCATAAATGCATTAATGTACACAGTTATGATTTAATTTAAAAACATTCTGAGCCTTTAGACAAAACGTTATTTCTTTAGCCAATTACAAATCAACAAAACTCTGAACCTATCTGTAACAGGAACCACCCTCACCCCTTTAAGATGTTCTACCCTTTGGGGCCAAACAAATGTCTGCCTTCCATGTATTGATTTATGATTTCACCTTCAATTCTTGTCTTCCTAAAATGTATAAAACTAAAAACTGGATCAACGTGGGACCACTTACTCAAGACTTCTTGGGTGAAGTTCGGTTCCCCAGGCCTCAGTCACAAACACTGGCTCTGAATAAACCTTTTAAAATTTTTTGCAGAGTTTGGGTTTTTTTCCCATTAACATTCTAAAAGCAGAAACAAATTTTGTTTTTACACATTATTTAAATCATCCAATTCCTCTAAGTTCTAAATTATTGGTCTTAAAGTGCTAGTGCAACTTAATTGGCACAACACTATTTGAAAATGTTCTAATCCATTAAATACAACAAACTAAATTAACATATGGAGGACAGAATGCACTGGACAATTAAGGAGGTGATTTTATTCAGTCTCCTGCAATAGGGAGAAGGTTCACTAATGAGGGACATCTCGGCTCGGTGACTGTAGCACAGTGGTTGCAGCGCCAGCCACATACACCGAGGCTGGTGGGTTTGAACCCAGCCTGGGCCACCTAAGCACAAGGACAACTGCAACAGAAAAATAGCCAGGCGTTGTGGCGGGTGCCTGTAGTCCCAGCTACTTGGGAGGCTGAGGCAGGAGAATCTCTTAAGCCCAAGACTTTGAGATTGCTGTAAGCTGTGACACGACCACACTCTACTAAGGGTGATAGAGTGAGACTTTGTCTCAAAAAAGTAATACAGGAAGGGATAAAGGCAGATTAACAAGGAAGTCATGATAAGGGCTGGAGGTGGGGCCCAGCTGCAAACACAGGGTGCTCCTCAATAATATCCCAGAACATAAAGGGTGGAGAATTTCTGAACTATCGTTGCTTTCCAAGAGCACAGGTCTCAAATAAAATTCAACATGCCATTCTCTTATCAGTTGTCTTTAACAACTTAAACACATTCATTAAACTCCTAAGTGGGTGACACAGGATCTAGGAAATGGTCTTTCAAGGTTCCTTGTCTGGGTTGTGTCCATAGAGTTGAACCATCTCCTGGAAATGAAAACCATTTGCTTAGAATGAAAAGGAGGAAATACTAATATAAAGGCCTGTGTCAAAGTGAAGAGCTAGGAGTTGACCTTTAAAGCGTCTTGTCTGGTGAATCATCTGAGAGGTCAGTGAGGAGTGTCTTTCAGTGAGTCAGTAGTGTGGCTTGCCGAGATTCTCACAGCTCCCGAGCTCAGACATCAATGTTCTTGGCGGTGCTGCCATAGTCTTGATTGCCTCTCAGATAAAGGCATGTGTGATCCAAGCCTTCTGCCCACTTGCCCACAGAGAAACTCTGCCCAGGAAGGATTTGCTGTGGTGGTGAGTCCTTTGATGTTAATCATATGGCTGCAGTTTGCAGGGCTTGTCCAGATCTGGGGGAAAGAGCCAGACCAGCTAGAGTCCCAGTAAGGATCTGGGCAGCCAGGTTTTAGTTCTTGGTGACTGTGATGCCAAGTCAGGAAAGAAGGAAATATTTGTTTACATAGTTGTAACCAGATATTGATGGAAACTGGGAAAATTAAAATTTGGTAATTGACAATACAGGCAAGGTAGTGAGATCCAGTGTAATTTGCAGAAGGGCAAACCTATTCTTCTACTTGGGGATGAGCAGAGTCCATTAAATCTCTATCCAACAAGACAGAGTTTGCAAGAGGTGTAAAGTAGCCTAAGGAAGTGAACAGGGCACTCAACCAAGAGTGACAAAGACTCTGTCTCAAAAATAAATAAATCATAAAAAAATAAATAAAAGAGGAAACTCCTCAAGACATCGATGATGTCACCAGTCAGCGCACCTGGTAACCATACAGAGGCTGCTTGTGCAAGGCAGTGGCGCCAATAGGGGAGAGATCTATGGGGGTCAGCAGCAGGAGTTGGTGGCAAATATTTTGAGACTCTGCTTTCAATTTTTTTTGGTACATACCAGAATTGCTGGATTGTAATTCTATTTTTTGAGAAACTGCTATACTGTTTTCCATAAAGGCTGCACCACTTTACACTTTCACCAACAGTGTATAAAGGTTCCGATTTCTCCACATCCTTGCCACACTTATTTTCTTCTTCTTTTTTTTTATAGTAGTCACCCTGATAGTTTCATCCCTGGTAAGTGATCAGGATGGTCACTATGATTATCAAGTGACGTAACAAATCAGAATGTATTTTGAAAAAGAACTGTATCTGTCAGGATCCAACCAGGAAAACAGAAAGCACTAAAAGGAATTTAATGAGGAAAACTGGCTATAAAGGTAAGGGAAAGGCTGACAAGCCAAACGGCAGAGAGTCATTAACACTTACATGTACCTAGAGCAGAGGACAAAGGAGTGTTAGCAGCCCACTGGCTGGGCTCGCCCAGGGGAAGCCAAGGTGGTGAGGGAAGCTGTGGAGGCAGACAAGGAATATATCCCGCCTTCTCCGACCAGGGGCACCCACTGACCAATCTAGCTATAAAGCAAGTGACAAAGGATTACGAAAACAGACTATAAAGGTCTGTACAACAGTAAACTGCTATGTAATACATCTGTATTGCACTTCAAAATACACAAAAGATTGCCATGCCATCACATCTTAAATTCACAACAACCATTTTTAACATTTCGCAAAACAGGTTGGGTTTTTCAATCAATGGCTTCAGAAACCAACTACAATGACTTTCAGGTACCTTTACTGCATAGAAATTGACAGCCGTGCCCATTCAGTCCACATAGGTTTGTTACTGTAGCAGGCTTGTCAGATCCTAGGCAAAGAAAGCTAAGAGACCCTGTCCTTTTTTTCTTTTTGAGACAGAGTCTCATTCCCTAACCCTGGGCTCAAGTGATCCTCTTGCCTCAGCCTCTGAGTAGCTGAGACTACAAGCATCAATTAATTTTGTTTATTCTATTTTTAGTACAGATGGGGGTCTCACTCTTGCTCAGGCTGGTCTGGAATTCCTGAGATTAGGCGATCCACCTGCCTCTGGCTCCCAGAGTGTTCGGATTACAGGAGTGAGCCGCCAAGCCCAGCCAGAGACCCTGTCCATAAGGTACAGGCCGTAAGAACGCCTCCTCAGAACAGAGAACAGCATCAGCGGCTGGGAGACTGCAAGAGAGACGTCCGAAAGAACCACCGGTCCCGCGGTCAGGGGAAACCACCACAGTCCGTATAAGGGCTGCCCAGCTCTTCCGCGCGCGTCGCAGTCCCGCCCCTTCCGCCGAGGCCGACCAACCGCCCCTGAGGGTGGAGCCGTTTCCACCCGAGGCTGAGCACAGCCGGAAGCGGGCGGTAACCCTGGGCCCTGCCCCTGCCGCCCTGTTGGAGATGGCGGACCTCCACCGCCAGCTGCAGGAGTACCTGACGCAGGGGAAAGCGGGCGGGACGGCGGCCGCGGAGCCTCTACTCGCAGCGGGGAATGCGGAGGAGGCCGCGGACGGGGCAGGGCCGTCGGGGGCGTGGCTGAGCCGCACAGGCCTGCGTTGGACGTGGGCGCGGAGCCCCGCGGAGCCGGCCTCAGCGGGCCCGACGTGCGTGCCGAGCGTGACGCGCGGGCAGCGGCTGGCGGCGGGCGGCGGGTGCCTGCTGCTGGCGGCACTCTGCTTCTGCCTGGCCGCGCTCTACGCGCCGGTGCTGCTACTACGCGCACGCAAGTTCGCGCTGCTCTGGTCGCTGGGCTCGGCGCTGGGGCTGGTGGGCGGCGCGCTGCTGCGGGGCGGCGCGGCGTGTGGACGCTTGTTGCGCGGCGAGGAAACTCCGCCGCGGCCCGCGCTGCTCTACGTGGCGGCGCTCGGTGCCACGCTGTACGCGGCCTTGGGTCTGCGCAGCACGCTGCTTACGGTGCTGGGTGCCTGCGGGCAGGTGGCCGCGCTGCTGGCGGTGCTTGTCGGGCTGCTGCCCTGGGGCGGCGGCACCGCGCTGCGCCTCGCGCTCGGCCGCCTGGGCCGCGGCGCCGGCCTCGCGAAGGCCCTGCCGGTGTGAAACTCCGGGCCCGCGTCGTCGGTATAGGACTAGGAGCCAGCCACGACCGGCACCGTCGGAGGCCAGCCGGCCGAATCAAGGACTGGACTCGCCAGGTCCCGGACCGCCCGCCGCGACACATCCAGCTGACCCCGGACGGCGCGGAGCGAAGGGCCTCCCAGGACTGTGCCGGCGAGTCTGTGGACTTTGAGCAGCCGTTAGTAACTGACACACGAACAATTTGACAAGGTCCTCGGTGTCAGCGTGTGCTCTGAAAACGGGAATTTTGGCATTGTATTGATGGTAGTATGCGGTGAGGCGGCGCTTAGAGGTTGCTTTGGCATTAGTGTGGTTTTAGAATTGAACTGAGAAAAAATAGCTTTTTGAATTAGCTGCTACTTTGGTGATTTTTCTCAGGCTTGTCTTTTACCTTATTTAAAAAAATCCAGTGATCGATGTTTAGCTGCAATAATTTTTGGTTTTGGTATGAATCTAGAAAGGTATCAGATTAAACACTGAATTTAGCTAGTGGGTTTTTTAAAGTACTTGGCTTTGGTTAAGACAGTTTATCTCGGGTATTTTCTTCAAAGGAATTGTAAATACGGTGCCTTACAACATAAGAGGAAAATTAGTGGTTTATTAGACATGAAAGTGGCGACCAAAAGTAATTTCCTGCTCCGTAAAAATGGTGGTAAGGTGGCTGTAAAGACACTAGAGGTCACGGAAGTGGGCTTAGAAATCCTGGCAGATAGGAAGAGAATTCTACATCCAGAATCCCCATATTTGCTGGAAGCCATAAATTTTCTACAAGCTCTATCACTCCTAATCTTATGGTTTGCTTTTTAAACTGTAGATTACAATTTGCAGGCAGATTGTATGGTACTTTTCCTTATCTAATTGCTAAATTTCCTTCAATTTAGGTTCAGTACTTTTATTCACCTTATTTATTGTTAGAAAGTATGGACCCAATATTCTGATGAATTCCAGAAAACTGCATGTTTTGTCAGTAGCTGTAAACCAGGAAGTAAAATGTATGTAGAATTTTAAAATTCTGTGCCAATAATTCTCATGCTTGATTGCACATAAGAATTACTTAAATAACCTCATGAGGATCAATTCAGCTGGAATCTCTGGGAGGTAGGACTTAGACATTAATATATTTTTTAAACCTCCCAGATGATTGGGTCAGCCAAGGTTGAGAACCACTACTGTGGGTTGGCTTGCACAATTTGGAAATACAGTAGAACATCCAGTTGGCCACCTCTTTAAGTTGACCTAATTTTAGTAGGCCTGACATGCGTCACATGTACATATCAGTACAGTAGGCCTAGTTCCTTATCTTGGTCACATAGGATCACCTTGTGTCAGTCTTTTGGATGGCCAACTTCCAGAAGTTGTACTGTAATTTTTTCCAGAGTTGGATTCCAGTGTTGCCTTAATACTGTATGTCATGCAGCAGCACTGTTTCTTCCTCTAACCCCCAATTTTATGTTCCTAGGTCAGTGCCCTGAGCCCTGCCCCAAGAATGGTACTAAAGCAGCCAAGATGCACAGTGTAGGCTTTGTATTTGCCAAGTTTCTCCATCAGTAAATAGGGTTACCTACCTCGAGAGGGAGCTCGTGAGAGTAAATGCAGTATTTTCAGCGAGTGACATATTTAGTTGTAAAGACTTGTGCCATTGACTGCTCCTTCTGGTTCCCAAGTTAAATTTGTTCTAAATTTCTCTGGAATTGTATGGCTGGGAATTCTATGATATTATTGTTTATGTTTTATATTTCTTAAGTAAAATTTAAAAACTTCTGCTTCAGCCGGTTGCAGTAGCACACATCTTTTGGGGAGGCTAGGTAGGAGTATCACTTAGGAGTTCTGGGGTGTAGTGCACTATGCTGGTGTCTACGCTAAGTTTTTGGCATCGATACGGTGACCTTATGGGAGCAGGGGACCAGGCAATAGGTGAACTAACCCAGGTTGGAAACAGAGCAAGTCAGAACTTCTGAGTTGATAAGATTAGTGGTATGTTACCTGGGAGTTGCCACCTCACTCCACACTTGGGCCTGGACATTGCCAGGCTGTTTGTTGGTTTTCTTCAAACATTATTTGAAAAATCTTGTTTTTATAAAATTCAAAACACAGTATCTAGTATGTATTTTGACAGATGTTTTTAAATGTCATATATATCCTGAGTATTTATTATAATAAATGCATAATGTACAGGCTTTTGTTTTCTCTAAATGAATTCTCAAAATGTGACCTGGCTACGTGCTTACGGAGGTACCATATTTTTTAAGTTAAATCCTAAAATGTTAAAATTCTTTCACATGATAATCTCAGGAAAAGGAGCCTTATCTTGATAGGAGTTTGGTCTCTGGATCCCTTTTTAGCTTCCTGGAATATGGTTATAGTTCCTTCCTTTTAAAAATATATATGAGTAGAGAGCAAATAAATATTCCACAAACCTAAAGCAATCTTGAGCCTCCTACTATCATCTTTTATGGTGGAGGTGTTGATAACAATGTTTTTAATCTTAAAAATTACTCACTTGGAGTCTCTAGGGAAGTGTGTGTGGTCAGCATTTTCTCACTTCACAGAAATAACTTGGCTTTTACCATTTTTTAACATTCCTTAGAAAACCAGTTAGGGATTTTTATATACTATCAAAATGTCAGTATCCCTTTTCTAAGCAACCACTGAGACTTCCAATATCATTAAATGTGCCAAGTAAACTTGACTCTGATGCCAAACTGAAGTTGGCAATGTAATGAAATGTTAGGGTGGTCACAGGAATGTCATTTTAGTAATAAAAGCTTTCTTACATTGGTATGGAAAGTATTATGGCGTATTTCAAACTGAATTTTTGGCTTCTAATCCAAAGTGAACCAAATGTTACGTTTACTTAAAACAAGGAATTTGTCGTGAACAAGATCTTTCTGGCTTACTAGAAGTTAGAGCTATCCTCTGCCTTAAACTACTGGTATTTCCACATAGCTACTATTTGTGGGTCATTAAGAAAGTTTTAAGATAGACTGTGTTATGGTCCATGATTTCACTTGCAAGAAATACATGTGACAGCATCCTTTGTGATTCACAGGTGCAAGTTTCACCTTGGTTGGCTTATTGGTACTGCTGGGAGGGCTTCATTTGTTTCCTTGTGCCGGGATTTTAGGTTTCTGATTTTTGTAATGGCCCACATATTGAAGAGGAAGATATTTAAGTTTTGTAAAACTTATAGGAGATATTTTGGTCCATTCCTTTTCAAATTAATGTATGAAATGATTTAAAGTTACCAAAAGGGTATGGAGTTATCCTGGCTTCCAGCAAGTTCCTCCTCATCAAAACAAGCAATTCAAATCTAAATTGTGGTTAGGAGATGCAACCAAGGGAGGGACCCCCAGTTGGACAGCAAGCTGGTGTAATTTTCTCTTCAGGTGTAACTTTCCCTCTGCTAGGGTGTGTCTGAATCTACTTCAAACTACATTAGAATACTTTTCAAGTATTCCTCACTGTAACAAAAATAGTGTAATAGAATGGCTAGATGGGAATTTGCCAAAAACAAAGTGCACAAGAGAAATTAGATGACCTAGGAGATCACATCACGTGCATAAACATCAGCAACAATTGTATACCCCTCAACAAACCAGATGCAGTGGAAACCAAGGGTTTCCTTAAGGCAAACACTCCACAACTAGTTGTTTTCTGTTAATTCTTGCTTAAATCACGTTCTGTATTCATACAAAAACAACTTAATGTTTTTTCTCTGACAAACTGTACATATAGAAACAAATTCCCAATTGGACATGAACTTAAGTTTGTGGAGGTGCTCCATGTCTCGTGACACTAAAAAAAAAAAAAAAAATTCCAGCTTTCATCTTCACAAAACAACATGGGATTTAGAGCCATGAGAGTGGACAGGACAAAACAAGGCCAGCTACTCTGGGCAGCCAGCGGCAGTCTCTTCATTTTGAAGACCTCATCGGAGGTTCCTGGGATTCAGCTGCCCCAGAAAGAAGTTCAGGGCTACAATGGTGCAAGCTTCCTTTTGTTTTGCTTGGTTAAGTCCACAAGAAGTTCTTAAATACTGTCCAGAGCAGCCTCAGGGTGCTCAGCCACAACTTCTACCGACCTCTGCCACCCCCTCTTGATGCTCCTCGCCTTGGCGGGCCAGAGTTCATATTGCTTCCTCTACCCCAGTTACTGCCACTCCGGCCCCCTCGAGAAGGGGTGCCACTGCCTGGAGGTCCCCCAAAAGGTTCATCTCTGTGGTATCCATCATGGTGATCTCCATCCAATGAGCTAGAACGTCCTGATTTTGGCACTCTCTGCGAAGGTCCTGGGCCCCCTCGGCCTGAAACAAAACACAGATTTCACTTGTGATTTGTTTGTATTAGCGATTGTCAGTAAGTCCTATACAAACTACTCTCTGATGACAGTTGACTACTTTTGGGAGGTTATGGGAAGACTAGTAGTGGCCTTCAGAACACAAAAAGGTGTACCTCTACCCCTTCCTAACCACCACTTCATTCCCATCCTGACTCCTGGCCACAATCCCCACCATCGAGAACATCCATGTTCTCCAGGGCTGTATGACAGATGATAGGAAGCCAAGAGGTAAGCATGGTGCATCTTCAGGGAGACCTGTACCACACTGGACTGTGTTCCAGGCTGCAGAACAGTGTATCTTCACCATCCTATGCCAATAGGGTGTTCTGAGGGAAGGTTTGGAAAACACTGACTTAACTGTGGAATTCACTGCTGCTGCTGTTAATGACAAGTGCTCCAACTAGGATCAGTGTTCACTGTGATTGTCCCAGGATATATGGCACTTTTGATTTCCTTGTACATAGTGAAATAAATAACTTCTTGAAAAATAAAAAAACAAAAACTCCACAAAACACTGGCTTTCAGATTATTTCTCCGAGGGATAGCTTAGCTTGTTTCAGACTTATACACACATAAATTTATTAAAACTAAGGTAGTATTATTAAAATATCATCTTTTCAGATTTTCTCTTAAAATGATATGATTTAGTCATATCTCCATATGTTCTCTCAAGATTTGCCAACTTTATTTTGTCTACATTTTTTTTTTCGGAGACAGTGTCTGTCTTGCCCTGGGTAGAGGGCTGTAGCATCATAACTCACAGCAATCTCAAACTCTTGGGCTTGAGCAATCCTCTTGCATCAGTCTCCCAAGTAGCTGGGACTACAGATGCCTGCCACAACACCCAGCTAATTTTTCGATTTTTAGTAGAGACAGGGTCTCACTCTTGCTTAGGCTGGTCTTGAACTCTCAAGGTCAGGCAATCCACCCAGAGTACTATAATTACAGATGTGAGCCACGATCACCCCACCTGTGCAAAATTTTTGAGTGGAATTTAAATCTAGGAGAGATGAAAAAGGCGAGTTTGGCTCGGCTCCTGTAGCTCAGCAGCTAGGGCGCCAGCCACATACACTGAAGCTGGCAGGTTCGAACCCAGCCTAGGCCTGCCAAACAACTACAACCAAAAAAAAAAAAAAAAAAGCTGGGCATTGTGGTGGGCCCCTGTAGTCCTAGCTATTTGGGAGGCTAAGATAAGAGAATTGCTGAAGCTCAAGAGTTGGAGGTTGCTGTTGAGCTGTGATGCCGTGACACTCTACTGGGCAACATAGTGAAACTCAAAAAAGAAAAAATTAGGCAAGTTAGCCAAGGGAACAATCTTTGCTTTTCTTACAAAGCATTATTTAGACACCTGAGGGTGCCTGACCAGAGAAATTGTCAACTACCATATATCATTTCCATACTAGCTTAATCTGCACAGCCAGAGGACCTACGATGGTCTCCTGAGTACCTATAAAAGTCATCCAAAATTCTAGCACACCCACCAGTCATAAAGTGTGTTTGGGGGCGGGGAGATCTACTGGTGATACCTAAGGTAATTTCTAAGGGTTCTGCTCTTAAAAAAAAAAAACTAAAGAACAAAAGGCAAAACTGTAATAGAGGGACTATAAACCCAAAGCAGTCAACTTGGGAAGAGAGCACAAGCTGGCACATGCGGGCAGCAGTCTCAGCAAGTCTCGAAGGCTTGCCACACAGGCAACTGCCTGCCCTACGCTGTGACCAGAGTTGCAGTTAGCCTTCAGTGGGCACTCCAGGCTAAAGAGTTAGTGCTGCCTATAAAATGAAGATCCAGGCTCAGCGCCTGTGGCTCAAGCGGCTAAGGCGCCAGCTACAGACACCTAAGGTGGCGGGTTCAAATCCCCAGCCCGGGCCCGCCAAACAACAATGATGGCTGCAACCAAAAAAAAAAAAAAAATGGCCAGGTGTTGTGGCGGGCGCCTGTAGTCCCAGCTACTTGGGAGGCTGAGGCAGGAGACTGGCTTGAGCCCAGGAGTTGGAGGTTGCTGTGAGCTGTGATGCCATAGCACTCTACCCAGGGGGATAGCTTGAGGCTCCGTCTCAAAAAAACAAACAAAAAAAAAAATGAAGATCCAGAGTCCCGAGTTGTAGGGCCCCTGGAAACACCCCCACAGACCACTTTCCCCAGAGTCTGTGACATTAGGCATAAGCAGTGTTCCTCGGGACTCAGGCTACACAAACACCACAGAACCTGGGCAAGAGCAACTCTTCTCCTTCCACCAAGGACACCCTCAAAGGCTCTCTCTCGGCAGCCATTAGTGCAGGGCAGACTGGCAATCAGAGCAGGGGTGTCCAGTGAGCAAGCCCAGCATCGAGAGTGCTGGGGAACGTGGGCAGAGGGCTGGAGTGGAATCTTGAATGAACGGGGATTACCAGGGTAACTGGCTCCTGCACACAGCTGAACTTGCAGTCACCAGGTGACAGTTCCAGCCAGCACTCACACATCTGGGAGCATGTGTCTTTGTGTACCCTAGGCCTCCCTCGGCCCCTGGAGTTCCTGGAGCTGTACCCACTGGCCACTTACCTTTGCCTCCACGGTCCTCAGAAGGGCCCCCTGGGGCCTCCATCTCTCTGTGCTCAGAAGTGCCTGGCCCATCATGCCAAGGGCGCTTTCGGGGCGGTAGGGATGCCATGTCCATACCTTGGAGAGAGGAGGAGCGTTCTCTGCTTGCAGGAGAATGACCATCATGAGGGGGATGATCAGGGCGGGGAGCATCACGGAAATGTTCATGACCTGGCCCTGCAATAAGAAGCAGAGTCTCCTCACAGTAAAGGACAATACAACC